GTGGCAACGCCGCAATGCTGAAAATATTTTAGATCGATAGGACAGGTAAGGAAATGTGAGAGGTGAAATTTTCAGAAAAATCATGCTTTGCGTTTTCCAGAAACGTCTAACCTACCATCGACCGTGAGTCACGCTGTATACCCTAGAGAGTTGATCAATCACATTGATATGTCGCTTTACTTATTATTGATTTGTTTAAAGAGCCAAAATTAAGATTACTGACCATCATAGATTCAATTTCTATATTTGTATTTGAATTTCCTGATATTGAATTTCTTTAATTGCTCAGGCAATTCGTTGTACAATTTCACATCACAGAAACTATGCGGTGTTTTCATTTTCAATATCAATTGAGTGGATATCGTCACGTATAACTTGTTTTTGCATTAAAAGAGGAAAGTGGGGAGAGTAATCAATGCATGAACAAAACAATCCAAATGATGAATAATAACGTTTTTCATATTGAGCCAGCGAGAGTTTTTAGAGGCTTCAGAAATGGAATCATACTTACGAATTCCATAAATTAAAAGGCAACAAGAATTTCGAACTTTTTGTACCCTTTTTTCAACAGAATCTTATAAGTATGACCCATATATGAAGCCATATAAATATGGCAGAGCACCAAACTATCACTGAGAGATTGGCTCAAAATGAAACGATTGCAGTATAACGGTTTCAATGACATGCAGGCTTTTTTCATTAAATTTTCAACTCTTCCACAGTAACTTTGAAGTATCGCTAAGCTCACTTGGCAAGAAAGATTCGTTTGTAGGTCTGTTAGTTTGGTATTGACAAAAGTTGGCCAAGAAATGAATGAGTCAATTCATCCTGACAAAAATGAACTTCGTATTATTTAAGATCTTCAATTAGAAAAATCAGTATAGTACGAGTACTCAAGATGTAGTGCCAAGAGAACGAAGTATCATAATTATAACCCGCGAAATATACGGATGATATTCAGATGTTACTTTTGGCAAATTTACAAAACTATAAAGAAATAATTTTTTCAGAAAGAAGCTTTTCATCAGCTAGAAAGCGAATATCTAATAGAAGCAACTTGGATTATAAGTTGGAGGAACGGAATGTTTAAATCACTGCTCAAAGCAGAGGTAAAGAGATATTTTTCATCTTCAGTTTAACATTCAACCAACTCCTTCAGCTCAAACATTTCATCATTAAGTCTATTCAAAAGAAAACCTAGAAACTTTTCCGCATCTTGTTGTCTACCAGCCATCCAGTCGGGGCGCATGTTACCCAACATTTTATAAATCCATGTCGGACCGACTGGGACGCCAGTGTTGATTATAACTGCTTGGTCTTTCTTGGCATTTTTGCCCACTCTCCTGTCTTTCATCCTAATGTAGGAAGGTGAGTAATCAAACTGCTCCACAAAACGACACCTTCCAACTATAACCGGGGTAGATTTCATTCTGCTCAGGCTACTCATTGAGTTGTAGAGTAGTGGACATGCAATCAGGGCTTGCAAAATCGAGTTGATGTAGCAGTTATTGCTTTGAGTAAGCTGACTCTCTGGCTGCAAACTCACAGTCTATAACAGTCTGGATCTACAAACTGGTCTGACCTTTTGGAGTGCTTGAAGGGGCGTATGAATTGATTGTTGTTGAACTCGTTTTCGGCGACCTGGTCAAAAACGACTTCGTCGAAACTGTTGAAGGGTTCAGATGAAACATAGGCGTTATCGGATTTGAAAAGACTTCGTTACCCCAACTCTGTTGGGAATTACTTTGTGTTCATGGTAATTGGAAATGATGATGATCATCTGAAGTCATGAGTTTTACAGTCGATTGAATATATCAAAGTTGTGTTCTTTAGATTATATCCAGTTGAATATCATCTCCTGAACCTTCATGTTTTTTGCCTAAACAAATTGTCGAATCAGATAAAGAGCGCCAATTCGGAAAGCCTAGCCATGTATGAATACTGCACATGTTCATCTACCAATTAATTTCATGGAGGATAACTGCGAATTCTGTTACTAATTCCAAATCAACAGAATCGTTGGATCCGTTCCAACAAAAAGGGAATTTGATGGCTCTACTGATTATATATCTTTCCAATTTCAATCCGCCAGTCGTTTGAACAACGGAAATTATGTTACATAAAATCCATTTTCAGCTGTCTATCTGTGAGGGAGAGTTTGAGTTCAATGAGGGCAAAGATATGAAATCGATTTGCGATATCTGTTCTCTCAATAATGAGAAAACTATGGTTTTGGGCGCCATGTTGACTATGACTCTGCAATGTCAGCACTTTCATTGCAGAAAGTCAGACCAGAGACCTGTTTCAGAAAATAAAACCAGATGAATCATAGAAAATCGGTGAAAGACAGTTATGCCATGGAAAATGGGCATAGTTTGGAAAACTATTCTAACCATGAATTTTCCAATAGATTTGTAAATGTAACCGACACAGAGTTCACATTAAATGAAACTCGATTTTTAGAAAATGACCTCAGTTGTAATACAAAATAGTGTATATTAATTCTGAAAGCATAATATAATGTTTAGTTATTGCAACGGAGCTGGCTCTGAGAGGTACTTCTAATTATAATGAACATGTCGCTGCAAATATATTGAAATTTGAAATCGTTGATCAAATTCAGTCTAATAAAGAAATGAAAATTACAAAATCAATTAAACAAAAGCTAATGATAATGAACCAATGTCGTCTTGATTTCAAACAGGTTGGAGTCTGGCTCCCTTACCCTTAGGACTGATGCTCGTTCAGAAGGATGAGCGGATCATAACTGATCATGGATGGCGGCATGAATGTCCTCAGACTCTCAGACATCAGTACCGCCCTTCAAGGTGGACCCCTGCCTGGCTGGGGTGTTTGGATGGAAAGATTGTAGGTCGTCTACAGCATAATCTATAGCTTCCCTGACTAACGGATTATCGGTTTCTACGCAATCTAAGACTTGCCGATCCCGCAACTGAATAAACTGCTGAACCACGTACGAACCACGGAGCATTCACAATCATCCTTAATGATGATAATAATATATATGAGAAGAGAGAGTCGAAAAGAGGAGTCGCTGGATGTAAAGAGAACCTGCTCATCGATAGATGTGTAACGCAGGACTCGATACAATATAAGCGTAACCTCTCTTGGCCTGGATCGATTACCGTAAGGCATTTGACACAATTTCGCATGAGCTCATCTTGCATTTACTCAGATGCCTTGCGGTACCAGACAGAATAGTGAGATGCATTGAACAACTGATACCACTCTGGCGAACTCGCTTCACCATAACATCTGGTCAAGCAAGAGTCCAAACAGGGTGGGTCACTTTCAGAAGGGGTGTATTTCNCAGAGACTATCCAGATCACTCTGTCAAGATGGTTGTTCTGATTAATGGAGTCCTTGGTGGAATGATGTCCGCTCTACTCTCGAATCTTTAAACCATACCGGCTTGCCGCACTAAGGCTGAAATCTTAGCCGCACAGATTCAGAAGGCTGTCATTCTTGGCTCACTGCACTTGCTCAGGGCACATGATTTTCGGACCCAATGATCACTTACCCTACGGTGTGGAGAGTGGTCATTGGTTGATAATGCTGGCGCGCCCTCCCGAATACATCGGGGCTTCGGGGGATAGGGCCTGACCAGCGCACACTACGGTGAAAATAATAATAATAATAGTAATAATGTTTTATTCCTTTCAAATGATCATTAAACAGTGATATAGGAAACGTCAAGTAAAAAAAAACATGTAGATGTGTTACATAGAGAGTACACTACATTGATTTCAATTATTTGAAAGTATACTCAAAATACTCATTGATAGAATAAAAACATATCTCTAAAAGGTAATCTTTAACTTTGCGTTCGAAAGTAGATATTAATGGGATACTCTTTATATATGAAGAACTCAGACTCCTTCTTTTTTACAAAAAGTAGACAATTATAAATGTATATAGATGGTAGTGTTAAAATTTTTTCCCCCTAAAAATGGGTCTACAAGAATCTGTGTGTCGTAGACCATACAACATACGTATTATCCTTTTTTGAGAGATTAATGCTCGACTGATGTTAATCCCTTCTCCCCACAAAAGCGCACTGTAAGATAGTACTGAATAAACCATCGCAAAGTAAATGTTCAACAAATGCTCTTCATTAATAACCTTTTTAAGTTGTACCAATGCGTAAAAACTGGTGTTGATTCTCTTGCAAACATAATTTATGTGAACTTGCCAACTCAACCCAGAATCTATATGAAGTCCTAAAAATTTTGTGTTTTCCGACGGATAGATAGTGACATTATTTATATCAATCTGTATATAACTTATTTTGCAATATCTCCAGAATGTTGATATTGGACGGAACCGCTTGGACCCAGACGCCTGAAGCATACATGATGGTAGGCTTGAACATCGTTTTGTAGATCATAATTTTGTTCTTAAGGCTCAATTTGGCTCGTCTATTGATCAGAGGGTACAGATTTTTTATCCGACCCTCGATATTTGCCTTCACGGTTGTGATGGTTGGTTCCAAGTGAGCCTACGGTCTATTAGAAGACCGAGGTACTTTACCCGCGCTTGCCAGTCGATCTCCCTTCCAGAGATCCTCACTTTTCTAGCCGGAAAAGATGTCGTTCTTCCCATGGTTATCGCTCGATTCTTGTCCGGGTTCACTCGGATATTGCATTCGACGTACCAGTGCTAGAGGTCGTCCAATGCATGTTGCATGTAGACGATCCCAAGCTGCGGACCCATGGAAGATGAGAGGAGAGCCGTGTCATCGGCTTATAGAAATATCGTCACACGCTCGGATCTTGGGAGGTCGCTGGTGTAAAGGGAGTATAGCGTGGGAGAGAGCATGGTCCCCTGTGGCACTCCAGCGAGGATCTCTCTGTTGTCAGACAGAGAGCCCTCTACTCTAACCTGAAATGTTCTGTCTTTCAGGAAAGACCCAATCCACCGGATCAGGCCCCGAGGTAGTTTGAACGTGATTAGCTTACGCAGGAGACCTTCGTGCCATACACGGTCGAAGGCCTTCGAGATGTCTTAAAGGACGACATGAACTTTATGATTTCGATTTAGCTCTGTGATGGTATTTTCGACCAGTCTCAGCGCCTGTAACTCAGTGGAGTGTACTCTCCTGAAATGATGATGAAGCATCTATTTTTCCTGTAGAAGTTGTTACTTATGACATAAATGCTGAATAATATCCATTTTCCATTTCCAAATGCCTCTTTCATTATACAGAGAATCACCATTGACATACATAACATTCAATAGCTCAGCATACACTTCCCTCTATATACTTAGTAGCACTTCTATGCCGGAGTGTGCGGTTGGTGTAACTCAAACATTCAAATAAGCTTCCTAAAGTTGCCTCTGAATCAAAGTGGTTGATGCATCTTGGATAAGACCTGTTACTCAAATATCTATAGTTTTTTGCCCAGCCTCCCGATAGAACGACTTCCGTTTCACTAACTGATCTTTGCGTCATTGGAAGACATTTTTGAGGAATCCAGTATGATGGAGCTCAATTCAACTAATGTACAGTTGGATTTGGATTCGTTGAATTCCTACACATTCAATGAATCAGGGATAAGAAAAGTCAAGTGTGTCCTCCACTAGACACCATACCCACCCCAGTGCAGTACAGATAACTGGATTATCCTACCGATATCAACCAGTATAATTTTCGAAATAATAGTGAACAGTCAATCTGCGTAATGCAAATCAGGATTATTGCTATTCTGAAAGTTTTTATTTTGTAGTGAAAAAGCCTTAAATATGATTACATTAGTGTGTGTATGATAGCTTCAGCGAAGTTCTCAGCCGCATTGCCATTGACGAAAATATTGTTTGAAAGGTTATTACTTTGATCCCAATAGCTTTTTATTCAAATTCAAGTTTCAGTTCCATTCATTAATATGTCAATCGGTCGTGATTAGTTCCATCTATTCAAGGCTTTTAAATAATCTGGAAGGTGATTATATATCTTTGGAATTATGTATTCTGGTCCACATGATGTTACTTTGAATCTAGCTAATGGCAAGTGACAATGGTTCTTGGTTCTAGTATCACGTTGGTGAAGTTCTAGATTTGTTGTAAATCTTGATTTATTCTTGAACATATACATACATAGTTCAAAAATATAAACTGATGTTAAAGTTAAAATGCCGTACTCATTAAAAAGTGCCTTGCATGATTCTCTATTAGAAAAATTTGCTATGCAGCTCAGAATTCGCTTTTGTGCTATAAAAACATTTCCTGCTGTGGTGGAACCACCCCAGCTGACTCTTTGTTAAAACTTTTCATGAATTGATGAAGCGAAACTTCAAAAGAATTAAGTTTTGACAATAATTGTTGACAGTTGCCTTTCCAATTGAGGAACTCATCTAAAATGATTCCCAAGAATCTTACATTGTGATCAATATTTGTTAGGATCACATTGTTTACCATGAAATGTATGTTTTCCACTATGTTTTGCCAGTTGTGAATACGAATAAAATCAGTTTTGTCTGAGTTGAAAAATAAATCGTTGTTATTGAAATACACACATCGGAAAAGTCTAGGGATATTTTTAAAAATGGAAAACATTTTTTAGATCGCTTTAGGGAAAAAAAGTTGACGGGTGATTATTAAACGAATGTAACTTACAACAAAATTTATTAAATGGTCAAAAATATTGAGTGCGCATATAAGCAAAACTAAAAAAAATATGGCTCTTCTTTGGCACCCCGAAAAAAAATCATAATACAAA